TGTGCTGGTTGGGCGACATAACAGGTTATCGCTACTGTGTATTCCAAAAACATTGTGCATCTTTCAGTATTAATTTATCTCAAAACCCAGCATTTTAATTTCTCAGAAACGATCATTGCGGGAAAATTGTGTGCTGGGACTAAGATTTTTTAAGGATCGATGCGATAAAACGATAGTTCGAGGAACGATAGAAGCGGGAAAATGTAACATTATTTTATATGGGATGTATTCGGGACCGAACAAAACGGACGATGCATCCGGGAAAACGATAGTTCCGGGAACGATGGATAGAGGTTTCACTGTACATATGTTCCTAATTACTATACAATGTGAAGGTTTTCAACCATTTTCAGACCTAGGACCACATTCACCCCTTCTTATCGACTTGTGGGCCACAATTTTGTGGAAATTTATTAAAAATGCAACTAACTTATTATAAAAACAGATTCACCTAATACTCAACATTTCTTTAACAAAATCAGTCATTACTTACATGTTTTACATTGATTTAGCTTGATTAATATTTCAGTATAAATTTCATTTCTGATATAATGATTCACATTCATCGTTCCAAGTGTTCATCATTGAGATGTGTCTTAGTTCTTGATTTTACATTCTTCATTAAGCTGGAGTGCAGCACACAATATTAACATGTTGTGCTTTCTGATATCACATATTTCTAGTACCATTATCAGGTATTCTTTGTTACAAAGGGAGAGACAGTATTAAAAAACATGTGTCAGCTGTACAAATCACAACGGCAGGCTGCATGTAGCCTACGGGTTATGAAACCCTGGTTTATATTGTGAACATTAACCCTTCAGCGTGGGAGCATTTAAATCCAAAGTCTATACTGTGCTGTGCTTGGGTATTTAATTTTGAGCTTGAAAGTGCATCATTTTACTTATATGGGCACAACTTCCCTAATAATTGATGAATTTAAGTGAAACTTTAAACAAAATGTTCACAACACACTATGCTTCGGTCATCTACAGTTCTATCAATGTCTTGAGGAGACAAAAAACGTCTGCTACTCGAAGCCATAATCGCGGCTGACTGACGGCAGATATGTGCTACAGAAGTCCGTTCATACCAAGCTTGCTGACATCACATACCGTTGCAAAGCTTGCAATGTGTCGTACACAGCTGTCGTAGCCGTAACTATATTACTTCATTCGTCTTCGATAGAGGGAGCCACAGAGCAGAGACTGAATGCAGTTGAGTTCAATAATCGATCTATATTTCAAAGTCGAAAAACACTGGTAAAATCGATCTGTCAGAGTCATGTTATATATCAATCGACAGCCAGCTTCTTTCTCTACACGGCTACTGGAGCCAGAATACATAAACCACAAGGTCAGTCGCTACGTACAAGGAGAAATCTTAGCGCGCATTATGCGAGCAGTGCTTGGCACTCCACGCCATGGGATGATTACGTCATGACGAGCGATGTTCGGCACTCCATGCTGAAGGGTTAAGGGCTCAATACATGAAGGCAAATACTGTGAATTTCATGGACATCATGTTAATAATTTTAAAACAAACTTGAAAATTTATAACATGCACGATTCAAAAGATATACCACATGCATCATATATATATGACAAACAAACAAGCAAGCAATGAGTATATTCTTCCTCTACATGAACACAAAATATAAAACGAAGTTGTGGGAGATATATGGCTCAATAAAAACATTTGCACGACTCACATATTCTTACATTCTATACCTCACTCATATCAGTATAAACTGTGGTCATGTATCCATAAAATGCATTATACCTGTTCAAGTATTTCCTTCAGAGAACAGCTTCCTTGTGGCACATTCAAATTCACCAGCTGCTGATTACCATCTGGTAGAAGAATCAGTATTTGAGTGCTGCTACCAGTTTGTTGCTGTTGCTGTTGCTGCTGCTGCTGTTGAAGAACATCTTCTGAAGCGTGCTGAGACTGAACATTGGCCATCTGATCCCCCACAGATATCACATTACTGTAATTGCAAAACAGCAAAACAAATTTACACTCCACATTCGCATTTTACAATTATCATTTTTATCTACTTTCAACACCTGAAACACAAAGATGCACATAATTTCAAAATGTTTTTTTATAATTTTCCATCTCTAATTGATCCTGATGTTCTCTTATTTTAAATTCAAATCTATTATTTGTCAATTAATAAAAGCTAACCACAATTCAGTTTACATAAGCATGAAAATAAACTTAATCATCATCATAATAATACATGATAAAGGACAAAAACCATGATACTCCCTGTTTTGTAAATCATGTTATTAATAAAACGTCTGTCAATAATTTTCTCCTCAGGGCTATGTATAGAAACTGTTCTCTTTCTCCCTCCCTCAAGTGAAAACCGAAGAGTTACATACAAAAACAAATTTCCATATATTAATCTTTGGTATTATGAAAATAAACTACTTTTAAGAATATCAACACATAATTACTGAGGTTTCATTAAAGTTGTTTAATTTATCATGTTAAGAAATTCAATTAATATAAATCTATACTCAATCAGATGAACGAAATAATTCAACTCCTTGCCATTATTACAACTTACCGCTAGAATTATACCACAATAAATATAATGTTAAAAAAATATGAAGGGCACAAGACATGATTAACCCATGCCCATGAACATTTTAACTTAACATACCAGCAACACTATTTTATTCAAAGAGTAAAATCATTCTAAATTTCATGTAAAGAAATCTTGCACTGTTAAATCACAAATCTAAAATACTTTGTTTAATCACAACTAACACTGAGTATTTAATAAACTAAAAGAAAGCCAAAATGTTTTAATATCTTTCTACAACACTCTTAAAAGGTACACTGACAAATATAATTTGAATTAAAACAGAATGTATAATTATAGCAATGCTTACTCATGTTGCTGCAGGAGATTATGATGATGATGATCCACAGTTGGGGATGCAATGGCTTGAATTGTATTGTTTGTCACCAGAGCATTCTGTGTTCTTATTCGAGCCTTTCCAAAATTTCTTCTGGGGCCAGCATACTCTTGGCGCTGAACTTGCAATGGCCTGTATCAAATGAACACTTTCTACATATCTAAGGAGCACAAAATTGTCTTCATAGATTCCACTACCACTGCAACATCAGATGAAGAAATGTAACACAGAAATAAATAAACAGTAGTCCTTCTCTGTACCTCAAACCTATTAGTTACTGAATACGTGGGACTGGAAAAAATAAATAATAATCTAGTAGGGTGTATAAAGCTCTTTAGTTCAGTACATTCACCCTCACTTATTATTCTAAATGCATATCTGATAAAAATATAGTAAAACCTCATATTTAAATTACCAGAATGTATATAGTCCTACTAACCTTTTAACAATTTCAATGGCTTTTGTTCCTGCAAAGGTGGAGTAAAGTATGATTTTTGTATTTCCTGTCATTTACACTTTCTAACAATTTACACAATTTTCCATCAACCCCTTAAGTGTAAATATAGGATACCACTGTATTTTATGACAAGTTCATAAATTAATTACAATAATAATGGTAAATTTTTATCATTCCATAAAGAAAAAAAGAGAAAACAGGAAGAAAAGATAATAAAGGCCAGGAGCAGAAAGAAATTACAAAAGAACACTATTCAATAGTGTGAAACTGATGTCACATGCTCACATTAGATAGATCTATAATCATATACAATGTGAAAACATTATTTTAAACATCAAATTTTCAACATACCTGTGCTGCTGCATTACGTTAGTCATCATAGGAGAAACATCTGTCTCTTGCCTAGTTAAAGTGATGACTCCTGACCTCTCATTCTGATTAGCTGCCACAGCAGCGGCTGCCATCTGCTGCTGGTGTTCCTGCATGCATTGCCAATCCTCCACAGACACCTTTAACAGATGATTAGCATTAGCAACCATAAATACACGGTTGAAGGAAAATATTTAACACTTACAAATATTCTTCAAAACTGATTTTGTCTTCTACAGACTTTCAGTTTCTAGCCACTTTTGCTTAATTTTGATAAAATAATGCACGGAGGGCCCTTACTATAAAACAAGTGATAAAATATAAATATAAGTTTTATTTACCAACTGACCCTAGAACTTTAAGGCCTGAATAAACTTCCATAACCATTTTATTGAAAATTCTCAATGCTTCAAACACCAACCACAAATATTAACCCTTTAAAATAAACTGGTAACTATATATGCCACCTACTTTAACAATAATAATTCTGCATCGTTCCCACAAAGTGCATTTATGGGTTTCATGTGATTCCCAGAGTAAACAGATATTACTTCCCTAAACAACATCAACACATATTTGTAGGACCAATGGAAAAGTTGTGGTTTCTTCATGGCAGGAAGTGAATGTATGTTATTTTTATGAGCTTCAGCTTCCAACAGTTAATGACATACTAACTCCATAGAGCATAGACCTTGAGCTATAATCAAGGAGTTCTCTACCTTCTATAGCACCCTAGGTTCATTACCATGTTCACGGAAGTCTACCACTATTCCTTATCCTGAGTAAGATAAATCCAGTCCACATCCTCATATTCTATTTCTTTAAGATAAACTTTTATTACATCATTTACATTATCCTGCCACCTACATAGGCACTGTCTCTCTGAAGCTGTGTCTTTTCTTCAAGTTTTAGAGTAAATGTATTTCTGTCCCTCCCATGCTAAGTGTACCGTAGATCATACTAATAATATTTGTCGAAGGATACAAAACCATTATGTCTGCTTGAAAAATAGATATCAGGTAACTAATGGGAATAAAAAGTCATACTTTTTGACTCAGCAATCTTCTACATTCATTCTGCATATGATTCAACAAAAAATTAAAATATGGATTGTTTCTATAGTTGTATTTCAATTGGTGTGGTATGAATTTAATACTGAAGAAGTTATTATACAGTTGTAGATGAAGTTGTACACATGTACGTAAATAGTATTTCTGTACATGACTTATTCATAAAATTTAGTTAGAAACCATGATTACAGTATGAAAGATGACTTATAAAGCAGTACTTAAAACTGAAATGAGGGGGAAGTTCATCAAACAAGGCAGCAAAAATATCAGAGCTTTAACACACTGCAATGTACAGAATGCAAAATTGAATGAAAATTGTTAGATCCAACCTGGATGCACCACATAAAGGGATGCAAGCTGCAACCAAATAGAACAATGTGAGTAGCAAAATCAACCTCAGATATCTTATTTATTTAATAAAACTAAATAGGACAGTACTATCTTGAAATGTTGAGAACATCTGTCAAATGTAGAATTTGAGGTTTTCATGGCGATGAGTCTGAAGATGGCCACCTTCTTGGTTGTTGTGCCACGTAGTCTGGTACTTCTATCAGACTACGAGCAGCAACAACCCAGAAGATAACCATCTTCAACATCTGTCAAGCTCAACCTTCAACATCAGGCTTATTTCAATAAACCATACTTACAACACAATGGAGCACCACACAACTTTGTTCTTATGATGCACAACTGTCTCGGTGAGAACTCGGTATAATTGGTGGATAGGTCACTGGAAAGTTAGGAAATGTACACACAGCACAACAGTTCTGATGTGTTTGCCAGAATATGAACTTTTCAAATGGTACCAATAATATCAGAGTTGCCTGGCAGGATAATGGCATTACGGAGGATTACCCAAATTTACACAGATGACTGTGGATTTCCAATGTGGGTACTCATCAGGTAACCGAACTGGTCTGGGGATTCTCACTGCCACTTTCATGCACAAAAATTGCAATGCAAAGACAAGCTCTTGTAGAATTCCCCAATATCAAATTTTATAAAAATTTGTTCAGCAGTTCTCATATTTTTACATGTGGACAGACAAATAATGTGAAATTAATAAGTGCATTTCTGCAATTTTAAGTTATGAAAATGCTTAAAAATTACATCCTGGAAAATCAAGAAAATGTTTATATTTCAACAACATGCCTTATACATTTATAGAAATGAATAACTGTATTCACCTTTCTACCATGTGGCAGTGTTATTGCACTATTATTCGATGCTTGCACGTGACTTAACATGTGCTGCTGCTGTTGTTGTTGTTGTTGCTGCTGCTGATGTTCTAGTAAATGTGTTAATCTATTGATATACCTCGCTGGAGTTTTGGTGGGTTGATATGCTACAAGCTGAGCATGCTGGTCTGTGGAATTATTTTCAACTGCAAGAAAAAGCACAAGGTACAGTGGAACCCCTATCTACACATTTGTGGAGACTGATGATAAATGATGTAAATTGTGTGAAAGTGTAACTTACAGAAAATTCAAAATTCACAAGCTTGGTACTTACCTTAACCCATTACTCGAATGCATAGCAATCAATGTAGGTAATTTTTAGGAAATATATCAATATTTATACAACATACAATACCCAGAAACAAAGTATACAGTATCATGACACAAACAGAAGCAGTTATAAATTGAATATGATTCTTTTCGTAACTCCCCCAAAAAACCTACGCTGTCAATTATCAAAATTCAGTATCAATGGTGAAATGTCACATGAGGACCACAATTTTCAAAAGATATGAGCAAGGATTCTACCTTTTTAAGAATTCTCATTACACTTGTTGTTACAACAAACTTTCCAATAAAAAAATATTCACAATACCAGCCGTTTGACTGTAATAAGTAAATGGTAGTCCTATGTTCTGGTAATTTTCTTACTTCTGCCCGGTTCATGTAACACATAAATTAATAGGACCATCACCTGCAACTTGCATGCTCTGTCTTTGAGGCATGAGAGCAGCAGCATCTGCTAGAGTCAACCCATTTCCCTGTGCCTGCCTAGTCATCGGCATATTGTTGTAGTATGTCTGTGCCACCTGCTGCTGCTGCTGGTGGAGGTGGTGGTGAAACTGTTGCTGTGGCTGTGCCTGAGGATGGAAGTGAGGAGCAGGTACTGGAGCAGGAACTTGCTGAACCTGTTGAACTTGATGCTGAAGCTGTTGCTGTTCTTGCTGCTGCTGAACATCAGTCACTGCAATAGCCGCCTGGGCGCCGTGGTCGGCAGTCTCGAGAACATACACGCCTCTGAGAGATGAAGAAATAAATATGCGCAAATAAATACAAAGAAAAAGAACAGAACTAAAAGAGTCTATGTGATTTCAGGTCCTCATGGCAGCAAGCACCTATGATAAGTTGGCCAGACTACGTGTAGTGCAACAACCTGAAAGACATCCATCTTCATAAAAGATTATGAATTATTACATTATCCTTGGTGACATCAATCGCTGAATACAGACTGATTTGATTGCTGTGCTGCTGAACACAATTTCTCAGCAATGGATTAGAGAGCAATGCAAACACAATATCAGTAACTAGGATTCATATTACAAAATTTGGTCAAAATATGTTAAACTGATCAAGCAATGTAAAAGTTGTATCATCACAACACTCAGCCACCGTCAATGACCCAATACATCAAATGGTTGTATTTTGGGAAACTCATCATAAAAAGTGTTATAATTAAAAAATATTCATAGAAGTCTCAGCAAACTAATGCACACTGAAAACAAGTTAACATGCCCCACTTACTGTTGTTGATGGTTGTCAACTACAAGTGGTTGGTGATGCTGATAGGCAGTCAGCTGAATTGCTGCTCCAGTATGTTGATCAATGCCTATAACCTGATGATTCTGATGCTGGTATTGGATATTGGCAGTTTCATCTTGATTGATGATGTATTGGATATTTCCACCATCCACATGTAAATTTGGGCATAACTGCTGCAGTTCCTCAACTGTGGTGGGCCCATTCACCACTTCATAAAATTGTGACATCTTAGCATAGCAAGTTTATTCAAACATTAGAAACCCCATTTGAATTTAAATTTAAATGTATTTGATAAACAATGCACTGAATCAGATTCACAACTACTGTATGATAGAGGCCCTCTCTGAACTTGAAGACTGCTGTTCAACAAAACACTGGATGCTGAACTAGACACTGCAATCAGAAACAAAATAATTATTGCCATTACTTAAACAATATTTTCACATATGCTTTGCAGTTGTCTTAATTCATTTCAATCTTTAGTAACCCTTTGCTTCATCTAACACAAATTAAATGTAACCTGCAGAGCTTAACATTTTGCCATGTAATATACGAGGCGCGTCCACAAAGTAAGTTTCCCACTCGTCCCACAGCTAGCAAACCTTATATTGCGCGAAGTGACTGTGCGTACGTGATAGAGCAATGACGTAGCATGGCGCATGCACTAACAGAACTTCCCGCGTTCTCACAGTAGCATCGTTGCAGCTGTTGAAGATGGAGGTTCTTATTCCAGCTCCCGCCGACTGTGAAGTGCGGTCAGTGATAACGCTAGGCCGCGCACGGCTCGACGGACAGCAAGTCTCCTGCAGGAGTTCAGCTGGGAGGTGTTTGATCATTCACCCTACAGCCCGGACCTCGCTCCCAGTGATTTCCATCTTTTCCTACACTTCAAGAAATTCCTGTCCGGTCAGCGTCAGCGTTTTGAGAATGACAGAGAGGCAGAGATGGTTGTCACACAGTGGTTCCAATCCCCGGCGGCAGACTTCTACGACACAGGTATTCCAAAGTTGGTCCCACGGTATGACAAATGTCTCGATTCCGGTGGCGAATATGTTGAAAAATAGCTGGACACTTGCTGTATCTGTTGCAATAAATATTTCCATGAAATTGTGTTTTGTTTCTGTAAACGGCCCCAGGGAAACTTACTTTGTGGACGAGCCTATACTATATACAGAGCATTTAAATTCTTTATCAGTCATGACATCATGGTTTACATATGGTTCATCTGGTTGTAACAGCAGCATACCACTAGTGTAAAATCCATAAGTTCAGTGGCAGCTCCATAACATTGGGTTTTAAATCCCCTATTCCTTTATGGTAAAGCTAAATGATGGGGTACTCTCAGAATACAGTGAATTTAAATGGTGCAGCAAAACATTAACATTCAATGCAGCAAAGAAAGAAGACTGGAAAAGCATACTGAATTTCACAAATGAATATGTTTGCAACAAAAGCACTTTCACTGATGTATTAACTAGCTATTTCTTAATTTTATATCATAATACTAGATAAATGTGAAAAAAAACATCTTACATGAACAAAAGTATGTAACTGTTTATCATCAATCCACTTACAAAAATTAGATCAATATGTATTGTTAACAATTACACTCCAAGATTACAGAATTTTTGGTGGAATATATTTCTGAAGGAGGTCTAGAATCCCACATTTATACCAATGTGCTTTTTTTTAAAAAATTAAATTTTAAAAAGTGGTTTGGACTTTAGAATCTTCACAACCAGTCTGCCATACACAGAGGAAATGTGGAAGGTAATTCTGTATAAGGAATGCTACTATAACATTTGTCCTATTCCCTCCTATTGCTAAGTTGCAAATGTTTTAAGAATAGCTGAAATTCTCTCTTGTGGTCCACCAATAATCCTCACAGTACCATTGACAGAGCACTTTAATGACAATCCTCAGTTATTATTTGGTGCGGTGCAAATGAGGATCATCTGACAAGACCATTCCTGATGGAACATTATTCAACTGCTGATAAATCTTTACTTCCTCATAAATACACTGCTGCTTTTAATGGAATATGTGCCCCTAGAGACATATGCAGTATCTTCTTTCAGCACGAAGGGGCACTTTCACATTTTGATCAACAAGTTACAGCTTATTTGAATCAGCATTACAAAAATGGTTTGACTGGTCATCATGGTCCAATACCTTTGCACCTGAGATCTCTGGACCTAACCTCATTTAATTTAATTTCATGTGGTCTAATGTCTAGACGACCTACAGGACCAAAGTACAAGAGAGGAACTTCTGCATCAGATTATAGATGCTGCCACTTGCACATGAGAACACCTTGAAATAATTGAACAAGCAGCAAATTCTTCTTTGAAATGAATGCTGTGCATTCAAAATGATGGTAGACATTTTTGAACATTCACAAGATGTATCACATTGAATGTGGCAATAAATTAATCTCTTTATTTTTTCTTGTGTGCAGCTTACTACCACAGTGTTGTAATGGATGGAAATAGAACCAATGTAGTATTAACATTTTTTGCTTGAAATTACTTCTAGACCCCATACCCACAGTTTTATCAAATGCTGCTGTGAGACATATGCTTCCCTTTTAAAATACATATTCATCCTGTTTATAAATAAAAACTTATTCTTTATGAAAAAGAGTGGCAATTGTGCACATCTTCATAAAAGGAAACAGAACAGTGCTTTAGTTACTAGTTTCTGAAAACACCATTCACAATCACTTCTTTTTTTATTTAAAATATAAAATGTGACCATCTTAACATAAATTTACTAAATCAAAATCTACAGTAACCAATGTAACTGCTAACAACAACAAGTTCACGTTTTAAAAACACTGCATAAAAAACATTAGGTTGGAATATCTAAGAGACACTTGGAAGACAGGCATGGGTGGAAGGATAGTTTGATGGTGAATATTAAGAACATGGTGTGCATATGTGTGTGTGAACATGGACTGAATTCAAATGGTTCTTGAAAAGATCTAGCAGTAGGCACTTGTACACAAAGTAATAAACCATCTGATTCAATAAAAATCAAAGAACTTTATAATTACTCAAGTGACTATTGAGTTCACAAGAAAGGTACTGCTCCATGAAAATAGTATAGTTAAAATGACAGTATATAAATTCGATTCAATTCCTTTAAGACTATAATTTCAAAAGAAATGCCATCTTTACTCATTTATATGGACTGTTCTCACAAAAGAAAAGTAGTTTTGTTCTTCACAAATTTTTCTGAGAATGCACCTTTCATTAATTCTACAGGAAAAACATTTCTGGCTTCCAAGAAAAAGGGGTTCAAGAAATCAAAATGATGGCTGACAAAGAGATGAATAAGTAGAAATATGAACCACCTTATGTTAACCTATGTTATGTTACATATAATTCAATAACACTGACCATGTACTTCAGTCAAAAGAAGTGGAGTTCATTTAATGCTAAGTTGTATTATTACTCTGGCTAAGAATATTTAGGCATGTCTTCTTTCTATAATAGTACAGGTTTTGCATAACTATATTTGAAAGTGACCAAATTTCCCTTTTCAAAGTGTAATACAGAAATAATTTCTGATAAATACAAAACTTTTGTACAAGTTCTTTCAATAACAGCTTTTACAAAGAGGTGAAAGTAACTTTGGGTTATGAACTTTCACAACATACACATGTGTTACAAAAAAGGGTTAAGGTATAAATCAAAGAATTTGTGTTTGTTTTGGGGTGTGCTGTACTGTAAAAAACTGACTGTTGAAATAAACGATTTAAACCATGCCCACTAAAGCTTTTAATACCACATGAAGCTCAATACAGCTATATACTGAATAAATATCTACCCCACAAAACTGTGTTTAATATCATGCACACATTACAATCTCTGCCAATCAATTATATTTTACTTATATAATATGTAACAAATTATAAAAGTACTACTCAAATACCTTCGTCTTAGAAGAGGAATGTTAAATATTAATGTGGGGTTATATTCCATGCATTTACGGTATTCCAGAGTAAATGACCTTTATAACAGATACAACACCACTACGTTATTCTACAATTAAGCTGTCAAGAGAAAAGTTAGCAAGCTTATTGTAACTTGTTACAATAACAGTCTTACCGTATCATATATCCGAACAAACGTTAAATATTACATTCACCACACAAAACAAGTTATTTTGAAAAATTAATTACTCCTAACCTGCAACAGCTCTTACTACATTACACCTGACACAATTCTGAAACACATCTACCTGAAATGTGGTCATAGTCCTCCGAACTGAGCATTGTTCTTAATTAACGCAACCTAATCTCGTTTCTACTTAGTTTACTCCTACGCCTAAAGGCGTTAATGGAAACCGCAAATCAATCTTACCTTGATGCGATACAGTATCTTATGAGAAAATGTATGAGTTAGCAAAATTAAATTCACACTTTTTCAAATTTCCGTAAAACTAAGACGCCATTTTACTTTCAGAAACGCCATCAAGCATTTCAGTAACATTCCATAGAATAACCCAAGACAAAGAATAAATATATTTCCAGCTCTCGTGAAAGGAATCGCTAGGCGCGTTCTGTAGAATGAATAATACTATGTTCAACGGATATTAACCAAGTGTAACCAATATGGGACTACTTTCAGTTGAATAATTGTTTTTTTTTTCGATAATTTTCCTTCCGTTGTTATGAATTATACACCAGAGCTTTAATAATAAATAAGCAGTTTTATTTTTAGTAATGCATATTGGAATTAAAACCCAGAGAAAAAATGGGCGCCTTCTCTAATTTCTGCATATGAGCTCAATGTACTCAGATAGGATACTTGAACTGTGCCTTGTGGCGGCATGTTGAATTGTGCTTCGAGATTTCAAATGTTATTCGGGCCATGTTCATGTACAGTGTATGTGTCTGATATGACATGAGCAATTAAGGTTAACTCTTGGTGGCCCCATTATATGTTCGTTCGGTATAAAATTTCTCGCTTCTACTAGCAGTTCACCATTATTAATTGTTTACAATTTTTTATTAGAAAGAAATGTTAATATTACACTGCAAGGGTTCTCAGTCTCTCTAGACCTACAGTTGCATTAACCTTTTATACTAGCTCATGGAACACTGATTTATAAATGATCACTTGATACTTCATGTTAATTTTGTTATGAACTCAATAATTTTCTTTCTGAAATTGCTACTTTAATTTAATTATTTATTAAGTTAAAATTGAATATAGCATTTAATGTAGGTGACAACTGTTTTTTCAATGGGCAGAGAGATACAAAAAAACCATAGCAAGCTGCATACATCCCAAGGGTAGAAAAACACTGTCATACTTGCTTAAATGTCCCTCCTCCTCTGTCCTTCACCCTTAACAGGGCGTGGTGGCACTTCATGGGTTGGAATCATTCATCCATGAAGCACTCTCTTGGGAATATAATCAGGTGGTTTCCCCTTGCCTGCCTGATTTTATACAATTAATTAACTGTCAATGAGGATGTACTTTAAAGAGTTTCAAAGTAGATACAGTGATTTAGGCAGAATTAAATCAACCAGATGGAAAATTAGAATTGCTTGAAGTTCTAGTTTCAAGAACTGAATATCCTGGAGTTCCTCATTGTTTTAATTTGTTGCTCCTCACACATTCCAGCATAGTGCCTTAAATAGGCTATGACCATTGCATTCCATATCATTTCCAATTCATTAATCCTTTTGTCATTTGGCACTATCCTAGTCTTTGCAAGTGAAAGCACCATTAAATAAACTAGGAATAAAAGGGATACATGAGAAGAAATTTAAAAAGGCAACCTTTAAACAACTGTAAAAAAATCTGTATCTTCCAATCAGACATCCTGAGTATCAGGTAATAAATATACTGTATGGATGTCTTTGTAGCACTTTATTTCACAGTGTTTTTCAAAGGTACAATAATAAAACTCTCAATCAATTAAACAAACAAGCAGAATATAAAACAAATTGTTGAAGAGTTTTCTTACAACTTTATTTTAATTAATCCCAATATTCAGTAACCAGTTAGTCCAACATTACATTTAAATCTTTGTAATTCTCAAACTGCATTTACAATCTTTTATATGTTTCCATGTCTTTCATATAACATGGTAATGTGGTATTACAAGTACATGGAAAATGCATTGTGCAGAATGATTAAAACTGAATAGGTAATCAACAGAGAATAACACTAATTTTACATATTAAAAAACATTTCCAAAATGTATTTCTATTTTCCTTTATAAAACAGAATTTTTTACACCAAACAATAAACCCATTAAATCTTCAGCATGTTCAACATTGTTACTCACAAGATGCTAATCCAAACACTTTCTATGCAATAAAGTCTAGCACCTACAAAGAAAATGGTTTTACATTGTTCAGATTTTGATTATTTGTACAGACTCAAACATTTTGAGAAATTTTCATATTCCATTTCAAATGTAAACATGTATCTTGTGTGTTTATTAGAATGTTCAGTAACCACTTTCAATTAAACACATTTTGAGATCCTAATCTAGATATCCCTTCAATCAGAAGTGATGAATAGCTGAACCTTGCTTGCAACTCCTTTACATCCAGTGTCCTGAGGCAAGAGGACCATGACTCGTTCTATCTCAGTACTTGACCATAAAATCCCTTTCTGACTTAGAGCTTCTTTAATACACATCACAATATGTTCCCTTTCGAGAGGTTGAAAAGTGATCAAACTGACATCTAATCCAGCATCTTGGAAAGCACTGCTTAATTTTTGTTTACTAACTTGAAGTTCGTGTTTTAAGTTTCCATAACCCTCCAAGATCATCTTCTGAACTTCACTACTGAACACAAGAATAACAATAACTCTGATACCATGTTCCTTACTATGATTCATTAGGTTGTGAAGAAACTTTATTGTATCATCCACGTCACTTGGTACCAAACCATCCATTACAACCAGATTGTCACCACAGGAAGAGAACTTTCCATAATCATCAGAAACAGGCAATAAATTGGAACGAAATGGCAGGACAAAATGTTGAACATTTTTTCCCCATGGAAAAAGGTTACATATAATTGAGGTGGTATAAGACTTACCAACACCTGTTCCCCCAAGAAGTGCCATTATTACAATTCCTGGTTCTTTGGTACTACAGAATATTTGTAAAGTGGACACCATATTATAAATTACATCCTCCTGACCAAACAAACTACTGTCAAGCACAGATTTCACAGCATTTATATCCAACGTCAACTTACAAACTCTCTGATATGAAGCCAAATACACTGAAGTACATGCTATAACAGATGCAACTATAAATATGATTGGTAGGAACACAAATAACACCGAATCCTTTCTTTGGCCTGTCGAATTACTTGGTGGTAATCTCAATGGTCTGAGGAGAGCTTTTGATCCTGCTACATTATCATTTTTCCTTTCCACTGGATAGAAGGTTTCATGATGATTCTCTTGACTTTGCTTATTCTGGTCTTCACAGAAATTCTTCAGTGAAGATACTGGGCTCTCATACTTCACTGCCCAAGAATTCCAACTTGAAATATTATCAGTAGTTATACGAACTTCCTGAACAATCCGCTCAATTTTGATTTTGTCAGTACCGTATAATATTTGTTCACAACTATAATGTTTGATCAAAGGTTGTCCTAAATCATTATGTTTAAGTTCTTCAGTTCTGACTAGTTTTGAAACAGGAAACTCGGACATAGAGTGTGATCTGTTGAGCATAATGAAGATACTAAATATCAGATTATATTAGGATTTACTAACGTTTTCGTTTCTAACCTCTTCACTCTTGATTTAAAAACAGCTTCTGCACATAACCCGTCATTAATTCAGAATATAGCTCGTACAGTTCTCTACAGTAGCATACATGTAAAAACGTAATTCCCTCATAACTACCAAACAATAATTTCCACTTATCTTGCCCGCTTCGAAATACCGTTTGAACAGTTCCCACACACTTAATGAGTTAGCATCTACACCAGAGAGCATAGGTACATCTTGACAGGCGTTTCGTGTACGTTGGTACTCTTAGGCGTTACTGCTGTCATCTATATATAACATGGAAATACACAACGATACCAGCATGGACGAGCGGCACTGCCTGTTAACCTTCGTAGCCCCAAACCATATTTATACCCCCCCCCCCCCCCATTTATAACAGTAGTGCCTTTCGTAACTCACCCACTTTCTCTTCTCTCTCTCTCTTTCTGCTTCAAAAGGTTGAAAATTATCAGAATAAAGGATGATTAATTCCTTAAACAGTGTTAACCAGTTGATCTTTTCAAAGGTGAAGTGGGGTGTTTTCTTCGCGGTACGGACTGAATTCTTAAAAGTAATTCAGACTACAGAGCGCCATCCTGACTGAGGTTTTCCGTGCTTTTACTCAGTTGTAAGGCGAATGCCATGGTATAATTTAATAGGGGCACGACCCGCCTGCGAAATCTCCCATCAGCAGCAACAGACCCTAGTTTGAATGATCGAGGCTCCCACCACAACGGAACCCTGTTAGCGTTAGCTAAATTTTCCGTTTTTTAGTTATACGGCTCTTTAGCACATCCAGCTATGCGTTTCGTATGCAGGAATGGTGTTACCTAGCAAGGGACGATGCTTGCGCAGGACTCCCGCCCTTAGTTAGCTTTTTTGGAAAATTGGAAAAGCGCCATCAGTCATAAGGGTCTAGTCGACAGGCTGACACATCGACCAATCCACTAAGATGGATCGAATGTGAACCAAAGAACACAGGACGACCACGGCAAGAAAATGGAAAAGTGATTTCTGGAATATGACTGTAAACTTTTTTGTAACTAGAGCAGGGCGCTCCTTTCGGAGCTCCTAGGGAGGGTTGGTCAAGTTTGTAAAACGCCACCAACCTTGTGTAAGTAACTAAACTAACCACCCCGAATTGAGGGTTAAAACAATTGACCAACCCCCCCTTCTGGGACGTTGGTTGCGTTTTGAAATCTTAAGTAACACGATAAAATAACTCCCCTTCGGGGGGGGGGGGGGAGTTTA